TGGGGGCGCGCCGCCCGCCTCTTCCCACCTCCCCTCTCCTGTCTCTGGTCTCCACCAGCCTGGAGTTCTGGGCCTGGGTAGGGAGGGGTGGGCAGGAGAGGCAGGAAGGCCTCTGCTGCACCTCCCCCATCCCCATCCCGAGTAGGCCAGTCCCTCCCTACTGCAACCCTGCGGTCCCGGGTCCCCTCCCTCCCTGCTGTGCCCCAGTGTCTGGGCCTCGGCCCCTCCTCCTCCCGGGACCAGGGTCCGAACCACAGCCCTCCTCTCCCTCAGCCCTTTTCTTATTTTAAAGAACTGTAGATCATTATTTTTTTGGGAGAGGTTTTTGCTATAGGGCACATGTGCTACCAGACAGACAGACAGACAGAGAGACAGACAGCGAGAAATCACCCCAGGGGGGATGGCCACTCCGCAGTCCCTTCTCCTTTCTCCTCTCAGAATCTTGGACACGCACGCACACGCACCTGGCCTGAGTTTAAGCCACCAGGTCCGGGACTTGAACCGCTGTCGACTACATAGGAGTCCAATGACATAGACATTATGCCAACTGCTGGTCCTGAATTTTAAATAATTTTAAAAGTTATTTAATTTAATTAATTAATTAATTAATTTTAATTTGACCAGAGAGAGAGAGAGAGAGAAGAAAAGTGAGGAAGCAAGCTGCCAGCTCCAGGACTTGAACTGCGGGCGGCCATGTGGGAGTCCAGTGCCATTAACCACCATGCCACCTGTCGGCCCCAAGGATTATTTATCTAATTTAATTTATTATTATTATTTTTAAATTTGCCCTAGGGCACATGTGTTTCTAAGCGAGAAAGAAAGAGAGAGGAAAAGTGAGAAAGCAGCTGCCAGGTTTGGGGCCCGAACTGCGGTCTGCCCTGTGGGAGTCCAGCGCCTTACCCACCATGCCACCTGCTGCCCCCCCAGCCTCTCGTGTGTTTTTTCTTTATTCATGACAGAGCACATGTGCACACATGTGCGTGTGTGTGTAAGGGGGGTGAGCGCTGTCCAGCCTGGTCACCTCACACCCCTTCTGCAGTCCTCCAGCCCTCCGTGCCGCGCGTCCGGGTTGACCAGCTGCGGGGCCAGGCCTTGGGCACCATGGGGTTCCGGCCTCTCCGTGGGCAGCAGTCACTGCTCCCCAGAGCTGGCATTGTCTTCATGGAGGAAAACGTCACCGCCCGCACATCCCCCATGTGCTAGGACCACCCTCCTGTCCCAGAAGTTCCTTCACCCCGCCCCCTCCTCCCATCTCTGCAGCCGCCCGGAGCACCTGCCCGGTCTGCACGCCCCATGTGGCAGGATGGGGCCCGGCCACCACACCGCCTGCCCTCTGCTGGCCCCTGGGCCAGGCCCAGCCACTCTGTGGACTGTGAACCGCACAGGGCTGTCGTCCTCCACCCCCACTCTCCGGACCCAGAGCCTGGGGCCACGAGCTGCGGGATTTCAGACGCCCCAGCAACAGAACCCCAGCTTCCCACGCCCAGAAGCCAAGATGAGAAACGAAGACAGACCCGAGCCACACGAAGACCAGCCACTGGGTGCTCCATCGGGCGGCGCCTTCCACAGCCGGCTGGCGGAACGGGGCGGGGGCCCGCCCAGGACCCGGCTCCTCCAACTCGCCGCCCCCGACCCTGCTGACCTGACGGCGAGGGGTCCCATCAAGGGCACCTCTTTTCTTTCTCCTTTTCAGGAACAATGAAAATAACACTTGAGGGGAACCAGCAGTTAGCGTAATGGCTATGTTGCTGGATTCCCACGTAGTCGACCACAGTTCGCGTCCCAGACCCGGTGGCTTAAAACTCACGCGGGGCGTGTGTGCGTGCGTGCCCAAGATCCCGAGAGGAGAATGGAGGAGAAGGGATTGCGGCGTGACCATCCCCCCTGGGGGGTGATTTCTCGCTTTCTGTCTCTCTGTCTCTCTCTGTCTGTCTGGCAAGTGCACACGCCCTATAGCAAAAACCTCTCCAAAAAAAAAAAAACACTCGAGGACCAGTCCCATGGCCTAGTTCTTCAGGGAACCACTAGGGGCCCACATGGCCAACCACAAGGTTCGAGTCCCAGCTGGAGCAGCTTTAAAAACACACCTGTCAAATGCGTGTGCCCCAAGACAGGAAGATGGAGAAATGGCATGACCACACCCACGGAGGGATGCTGTCTCTCTCTGTCTCTCTCTGTGAGTGCATGTGCCCTTTGCTTATTTAAAAACAGAAGGGGGCCAGCAGGTGGCAGTGGTTAAGGGCACTGGACTCCCACATGGCCAGCCATGGTTCAAGTCCTGGACCTGGCAGCTTGCTTTCTCTTTCTCTCTCTCTCTCCCCCTCTCTGGTCAAATTAAAATAAGTAAATAAAGAAATAAAGTTACATAAATTTTTTTTAAAAAAGAAGATGAAGAGGCCCAGCCGACTGGCCCAGCGTGGGACACCCTGGACTACTGTTCTGGGAGGCACACGCCGACGTGAGTCCAGGTCCCGGGTCAGCCTGAAAACACGCGGCACACCCAGGGCCCCGAGGACTGGGGGCTGGGAAGGAGACTGCCGAGACCTGGCTGAGGGTCTCTCTGTCTTGTGTGTGCCTGCGCATGCTCTGCCTCGCCCTGCTCATATGTGTCCAGACCGCAGGGCAGTCACACGAGCTCCCCAACGAGAGGACCAGGCACTGTGGTCTGGGACCAAGGAGGAGGACGCTGTTGACTCGCCACGGCGGCCGCTGTGTGCCGGCTGGGCACGAGCGTGTTCACAAGTGGCAGGAGGCGTTCTGCGTTACGTCGAGGTGGCCCTTGACACCTGGCCCTTGGTCACTGGCTTACAGGGTGCAGCACCACAAGGAGAAATAAGTGGGGACCCAGAGCTCTCAAATGCCATCATGGTGTGTAGCTTGGGGGCCATAGTGGCTAAGGCACTGGACCCCAGCGTGGCTGACGGTGGATCGCGTCCTGGACCAAACAGCTTGAAAGTCACGCGGGGCATGTGTGCGTGCGTGCCCAAAATCCCGGGCGGAGAATGCAGAAGGGATCGGCGCGGCCGGCCCTGGAGAAGGGTCTCTCCCTCTCCGTCTCTCTCCAGCGAGCACGGAAGCCGGAAAGGGCTCGGGCATCACCTGGAGGGCAGTGGGGGCCACGGGAAGTGCTTGACAGGGCCACTATTGAGGTGCGCTGTGACCGCGGCAGCCATGATGCATGCTCCCCGCCGTCACGCCCGGTCCTGGGAAGGCCCTGCCGCGTCACTGGCAGTCTGCATGGGCCGGCTTTCTGCTCCTCCCAGACGCAGTGCCGGCTTCGGGCCTCACCTCTGTAAGCCTCACGCTGTCACACACACACACACACACACACACACATGCCTCACCTCTGTAAGCCTCACACTGTCACACACACACACACACACACCCCTCACCTCTGTAAGCCTCACCGCACTGGCACCCCCACACGCCTCACCTCTGTAAGCCTCACGCTGTCACACACACACACACACACATGCCTCTGTAAGCCTCACACTGTCACACACACACGCCTCACCTCTGTAAGCCTCACGCTGTCACATCACAACACACACACATGCCTCACCTCTGTAAGCCGATCGCTAGCGC